GTGGGAATCGGGTGAAAAATAAACTTTTCATAAATTGATGATGCTTTGATATTTGATTAATTGTAGAGGAATCGAAATGGGGTCTAAAATAAGAAATTTAGATTAAATCAACAAGATTTTGCTTAATGAATAATACACAAAAAGTAGTACCCTGCTTTGAAACAATTGTGGCGATGTACTGTTCCGTAGATGTAAAATGTTCCGTAGATGTAAAATGTCCGAAAAGCTATCCGAAAAGCACATCTTGAAAAGAAGTTTTTGGTAGGTAAAAAATTGTTTTTATTAATATCTTATCTTCTTTTGATGCTGTACCGCTAAATATTTTTCATCTTGTCATTCAGTTTGGAAGTATTCTTAATATTTTGCACGGCTTACTGTTCTGAGTATTATCGTAATACTCTTACGATAATACTTAGTATTATTGTGAATTGACGTGATGGTTTATTCTACTGCAGATAAAGTCGAGATAATTAAAATGTTTTTAATTATCTTTAGTCAGTTATTTAATACCGACATCCAGATAAACATGTCAATAGAAAGTACATGCTGGAATTAATAGCTAAATTTAGAGAAACTGGAAGTGTTCGTATAAAGAAGCGAGAAGTTCCACCTGGTGTAGTTAACAATGAGGCGATGCAAATAGTAGTACTGGGACAAATCCATGCCGAACGAAGAATGAGTGTTAGACAATTGGCAACAGCCAACAGCCACAGGAATAAGTAAGAGAAGTGTTCACAGGATACTAAAGTTCCACAAATTCCATCCTTACAAACTTCATCTGGTCTAAGAATTGAACGAAGATGATTACGACAGACGATTACAATTCTGTGTAGAACTAAGTGAAATGCTTATTGCTACACCACGTCTTCTTTTCAACGTATGCTTTTCGGATGAATGTACATTTTTCCTCAATGGAACAGTAAATCGCCACAATTGTCGCTACTGGTCTGATACCAATCCTAGAGAATTCCGTGAGGTTCATACTCAGTACCCTGAAAAAATTAATGTATGGGCTGGAATCTTTGACGACTGTCTAGACCCGTTCTTTCTGGATGGAAATATATACCTGGATTTTTGGAAAATGCCATAAATCCCAGCATTACACAAATCATTGAGAATGAAGATCACTATGTCGAAAATTAACTTGTGTTTTAACAAGATGGAGCTCCTCCACACAATGCTGTACGTGAGCGGCAGTATCTTGATAAAACATTTCCTGGTCGGTTGATTGGAAGAACGAGACTCTTTCTGGAATGGCCAGTTAGGTCACCGGATTTGTCTCCGCTGGATTTTTTTTATGGAGACATCTCAATACAAAAGTATTCGCCACGCAACCGGAGATAGTAGAAGTATTACCCCTATACGTACACGAGTACGCGGTTATAACACTCGAAATATTACAACACATCCGAGAATGCTTTGAGCAGAACCTGTATTCGTGCATGGAAGCAGGGGGTGCTCAATTCGAACATTTAATCAAGTAATCGTTTCAAAGCAGGATACTACTTTTTGTGTATTATTCCTTCAGCAAAATCTTGTTGATTTAAATTTCTTATTTTAGACTCCATTTCGATTCCTGTACAACTAATCAAATATCAAAGCAACATCGATTTAAGAAAAGTTTATTTTTCAGTCCGATTCTATCAAATGTGACAAAAACTCCAAAAATGAGTCGGCGCTGAAAAAAAGCTTTAATAACCTTTCAAATGATGTGCTACTCGATCCCGCATAATATTTAAGATTTTAATAGTGGATGTCACCCCCTCGTGGGGTTTGAATTAGCGGCTTCAAAAATAGTCGCATCTTATTTCCCCTACGAAAATAAAGTTGTCGTGTTTCACCGTTTTGTCCTTTTCACACCAGAAATGCCTTTAAATTGCATTGTTTCGTTTGAAATGGAACACTCTGTATAATATTATTATTAAATATCGCTTTTAACAAATGTCGATGTTAATCGAACATCACTGTATATTGGTTGAGCTCTTTTGTTCGTCCCAATATTCGATGGCGGCTTCACTGTTAGATCTAAAAGTTACAAAGTCAATACTTGTTTGTATTTAACTTTTTGCTTACTCTGTAACACCTATCTTAAAGGTTTGTATAAAGAAAGTGTTAAATTGAATTAAAATACCTATATACTACAACTATAAGACTAGGGAAGCTTAAGTGATTATTTATACTGGCAACTGGCACCATAATTATAAAAGTATAATCTATCATTTCGATTACCAAGTGCATTTACGAATAAAGTTTTTTAATTAGTGGAATATCATTAATAAATAATAATAATTAATTGATTATTTTATCGTGCAATTGTCAAGTCATTAAAGTAATTACAGAAATAAAGCTGTCTAATATTGACACAATTTAAGCAAAATTGTTAAATAGGTGCTTCAGTAGAAACTAAATAAAATAAACTGGACTTGGTTTTACATGATATCTCACAAATTTTTGTAGTGGAGGAACTGTGTTGCTAGACTTTTTCTAGGTATTTCTAGGCATTTCTTTATATTCTATGTTTTTGATGGTGTAAGAGTCTCAATTTATTTTTCTTTGGTTCAGTGAAAAAATAAATAGCCTTACTGGCGTACAGTAGTAAACTTAAATCTCTCGGGCGCCACCTCTGTTATTTATAGTGGAAGAGGTCCACGTTTCGCCAATACGGGTAGCTTTTATACAGTGGAGATACCAGGGAGTGATGAAATGAAAAGAAATAAAACACACAGTTAACTATAACATAACATTAAGGCTTTATTTAATTAATTAACTATATGCTAAATACCCCAGGAAGTTTCACGACTTTACATTGTAGTGAAAGTGAAAGAAAATTTATAGTTAATGACTCGTAAAATAAAATTTACAACAACAATCGAGCACCTCTAGAGTTTTGACCGTATAATCTCGATATGCAACTCACTGTCCGATTTTATCACGCGAATTCAAAGCGCGTTTTTGACATGACGTTCTAGTAAATAAAACGACGCGAGTTTCTAACCGGCGTCTAACTTAACGGCGTCCTAGTAAACACAGACATGTACGTACCGGAGCGATATACTATTTTATAACCCGACTTTCTAAACGTCGGCGACGTCGTTACAGACGTCCCGGGATAAACAAGCGCGAGCCCTGGATCGTTCGCAGCAGAACGAAACGGCGTCCTGTGGGGATAATTACGCACCCGGAGCCCCTGAATCGTGCGCAGTAGAACGAAACGGCGTCCTGTGGGATAGATACGCACGCGAGCCCTGAATCGGTCGCAGTAGGACGAAACGGAGTCCTGTGGGATAGGTACGCACGCGAGCCCTGAATCGTTCGCAGTAGGACGAAACGGCGTCCTGTGGGATAATTACGCACCCGAGCCCTGAATCGTGCGCAGTAGAACGAAACGGCGTCCTGTGGGATAGATACGCACGCGAGCCCTGAATCGGTCGCAGTAGGACGAAACGGAGTCCTGTGGGATAGGTACGCACGCGAGCCCTGAATCGTTCGCAGTAGGACGAAACGGAGTCCTGTGGGATAGGTACGCACGCGAGCCCTGGATCGTGCGCAGTAGAACGAAACGGCGTCTCGGTTAGTCGCCTGGATAAGCGCAGTCCACACCGCCCGGTCAGGACCACCTCGGGATGTCGGCGAGATCCCACGGCGCTCCTGATGAGAATACGGGAACTACAGAACCAGTCGCGGGATAGACGAGATCCTGCTTTAGTTCCAAGAACATTCGCGACCCGGGTATTTACTGTACTACCTTAACCGCTATCTGTCTCCCTTTTTAATAAAAGAAATCGGTCTTCGCGTCCACGGGATCCGTTCAGCTCCCCTACCTGCTAGAAGACGGTTGGCCCTGAACGAATACAAGTTTTTGCTAGCTAATGCGATCGCGCGTTCTAACTATCTCTGTCTCCCTTATCCCTATAACGCGTCAAGGCAGTAAAGTAAACGGTATTAACAATAAAAAGAATACGACCTACCTCGATCACTTTGGCGGTGGGTGCTTACCTTATACAATACGGCGGCAGGCGGCGGGCTGGCAGCAGGACACTTGGCAGGGCACTCCGGACTCGAACTTCACTGTTCACGCGACCACACAACTCACTCTGTAGTGCCAGTACTGCCGAGGGTACTTCGACTACGGTCCCCTCCACTCAACCTGCACTGGTAGGGAGAGCGGCGAAAACGTCCTCTCGGTTTCTCGCACCGAACCACACGGCGACCAAAACCGATCAAACTCTTTACAAAATGGAAATTAAATATTTAACTTATTTAATTCAACAATAGAAACATTAATGAAGTTCACAATGAATAATGAGTTAACAATAAAATACCCCTACCTGTCATTATTACAAGAGAATCAAGTCTCTATTATTCTCGTATAATATTAATATAATATACAGGGTGGCCCAGAAATTTTATGAACTTCATTACACCCCTTACTTCGGTTAAAAATATATGAACATATATTTTGTCAGCTATGCTGAAATGAAACTTCCTGTTAAAAACAGCTTTCGTTTGACCAAAACTTAAGTTAACGCCCAGTATATCTCTTAAAGTCTAATAAAAACAACAACAAATTCGGAATGTTTATTGAGCCAAACTTAATCTAATAAAATAAAACCAATTCGAATATTGTTTCATCCTAAAGCTTAAGCTAACGCCCAGTATATCTCTTTGAAAGTCTAATAAAACAACAACAAATTCCCATGAAATGCTTATTGGGCCAAACTTAACCTACTACAACAACAATAAATTCGGATATTTACTGGGCAAGATTTCATCTAACAAAACAACAAAATTCGAATGGTTACGGGGCAAACTTAATCTAAAACTTTGATATATCTGGGACCTGGTATCACTTTGATTATGCTTACAACTAAAAGAAAACAACCATAAACTCAAATGTTTATTTGTCAAGTCTTAATCTAAACTTTCGTATCGCAATCATGATTGGTTACTAAATAAAACGACCAAATCAAATGTTTATTTTCAAAATGCAAAACTTCTAACTAAATTACGCAATATCTTCGGTCTTCTTCAACTTGAAGATCTTCCTTCGGCGGTGTGTAGAGCTTCGACGTGTCGAGCTTGCTCCAACGGTGTTTGCGGCTTCGGTGAGTCCCTCGTTGTCCAGCGGTGTTGAAAGCTTCGGTGGGTCCCTCGTTGTCCAGCGGTGTTGAAAGCTTCGGTGAGTCCCTCGTTGTCCAGCGGTGTTGAAAGCTTCGGTGAGTCTCTCGTTGTCCAGCGGCGTTGAAGGCTTCGGTGAGTCCCTCGTGGTCCAGCGGAGTTGAGAACTTCGGTGAGTCCCTCATGGTCCAACGACGTAGATCTATCCTGCAAATGGTTCAGTCATGGAGACCCATACACCTATAACACAAATTAATTAGTTCAACTCTTCTGGCACGTGGGACGATTGGTCGCAATGTATTTTCATATATATATATTTTTTTTTTTTTTTTAAAAAACACGACCAGATGAGAGATACTACTAAAACCCCCTTTTTGTTTCCCTCTTTAATTTTAATTTTTAACTTTTTTTTTTCAAAAAGAAAATAACTAACCAGGACCAAACCTCGTAGACATAACATAGAGACTTAAAATCGCGCAATATTCCTCTTTTCTTTCCCTTAGTAATAAAAAAAAACAGAAGAAATTATATTTCCCTTTTTTGTTTACTTTAACTATCAGAAGATATAACTTGACACCTTTTTTTTTTAAAGAAAAGTAAAACCCCTTAAAAAAAAGTGAACAAGAAATGAAAACTCAGAATCTGATGACTTGTGGACTGATGACATTGTGGCGACAGACTCCTGTTGCTGGACGTCCGGCATTTTCAGACGGGCCAGGACATCGGGCTTTTCTGCATGTCACCTCTCCACTTCTTCCCTGGCAAATTGTTGCTGTCTCCGCCTAGACTGGCTTCCAGATACATGGGAATGTGGGGGAGTTGGTTAGCGCCAGTGTGGCCTGCAGATAGTTCCTGGCAGTGACTCATGAGTCATGAGTCGTTATAGTCTGAAAAATTCAAAATAAAATGAGTTCCACAACTTCATCAGTCGGGACGGGTTTTTTTTTAGATACTGTTTAGATGCCTGTTGATCTTCCTCTTGACCAACATCCATCAGCCCAGGATTCGGTGTGATTTGAACGGGAAGGTATACATCTACACTTGCAATCTTGTGATCGCACGCCGAGTGTTCCACATCTGGAACAGAACAAAATAAATCTTCTGACATACACCAATGTAGGTGTCCGGGGTTTCCACATCGCCAGCAAACATTCTTCTCCACTGGAACTCGATCAGAGTTTTGAAGCAATACATCTTTGAGTCAGAAAACTTGTTAGTTTGATCGTCTGCGGAACTCTTCTTACAGGACTCTGTAGACTCGTTTTTATCGGAAGGCGACCGCCTTTAGAAACGGATGCTTGATTATTGGTCTTTCCCAACTTCTCGGTTGTTTGTTCAACATTTTTCTTCGGGTTTACTTGTAAACCTTCGGCGGAGCTTCGGATCTTTAAACTTGACATGACATTACAAGACGAAACCACCGATTCTGCACTCACCAACTTAGCATTCAATCGGATCTGTCGGGTTCGTAAATCAATCTGGAAGTCATGTTTGCCCAGAATATCCATACCAATAATCATATCCGAAACTAAGTCTTTTAGACTGTGGAAAACCTCATTCAGAGACTGCTCTCCTACTTGGATTTTCATCCTAAATGCTGTGCTAATGGACTCCGTGGCACCATTAGCAAGTCTCGCTCCTTTTACCGTGGGTTTGACAGGAATTGCCTTGGAAGTTTGGCACTGTTCTGTCAATTTCTTTCCAATATAGGAATGGGCAGCTCCAGTATCCAGGAGTGCCAAATAGTCGGTGTTCCGGTAGCGAATCTTCACAACAGGACGAATTTCTTGACGTATGATTTGTGGTAATTCTTCAACAATCTCCGTTGGTGAATAATGTTGTTCCTGGGATATTTCTGTGCGGTTTGGTTCCCGCTTTCTTGGGCTCACACATGGACAATTCCTAGAAAGAACACCTGTCTTTTTGCATCGGGAACAAAAGATTTTGGGCTCGGATGTGCACTGTCTGCGGAAGTGTCCTGTCTGTCCACATCTCCAACAGATTGCTTCTGAAGTCTGTTTTGCAGAGTTCGGCGCTCTATACGGATATCTTGAAACACGGGGAGTAACAGACACATGTCTCTGTTTACTCTGAGACGGCGATTGGCTCTGGATAACCATCAGGTTGCTCCTGGCTCCAGCATGCTCATTTTCCAGCCTGTCTCGCCGAGGCGTATTATTCGGTCGGGCTTCGACATCGGACGGTGCATAAGTACGGGACGATCGCTGCAGTTCCTGATTAAGCAGTTCAAACTCCTTGGTTATTCTTGAGAACGATGAAATATCGTGAAAATCTCCTCTTCGGACATACTGACGAAATTCAGGTAACAAATTTCTGTACAACCACTGCAATTCTTGATTCAGAGAGATGCTGCCATGTCTGCGGATCAACGTTTGAAGATCAGTGATGTACGCCGTGACAGACTCGTTATGTCTTTGCACTCGACGACTTATCTTCGCCTCTAGGTCCACCTCATAATTTACTGGATAATAAAAAATTTTAAATTCTCCAGTAAATTCTTCCCAGGTCCTGTAATTTACTCGGTTATTGCGGTACCAGAGCGCAGCTTCTCCTTGCAAAACTTCTGGCAAATGTGGCAATAAACGATCCGGATGTATATTCTGTGCTATACAAATTTCTTCCAGTCTCTCTAAGAATGTTACAGGGTCCGAGCGACCATTAAATGTCACCCCCCATTTGTAAACTTGTATAGGATTAGTATTAAAACTATTTGACATACCTGGATTTATCGGCAGAGGGACAGGCTGTGAAGTAGAAGTATAGACCACCGGAGAAGGCACTACACGTCCAGCAATGTATCCACTCGAGGTTGCTGTCACTGTAGTTGTCACTGTCGTAGTGGTCAGGGTGGCTGTAGAGCTCACTGTCGGTACAACAGCACTATTTCCAGGAAATCCAAAAGGCTGTGCGACAGGCTGTGGACTCGCCTGTCCTTCTCTAATGAATCTCACTATTCTTCTTCGCATTTCTTCGACAGTCCCGGTACTATCCAGTCCAAAACGCACCAGTTGTGCGGCTAATTCAGACTTCTTCAGGGAATAAATCCACCCTGTCCTGAAATCAGATTCAGCACTTGTGCCAGACGGCGCCAGGTTCAAACCTGTATGCGACAGCGACGGTACGGCGTCGTTACCTTCAACGGAAGCACCGATCGACAAAAAATCTTCCTCAGTTTCCATATCGCTCTAGATTTCACTAGTCTTTTAACACAGAAACACTGAGACTTTACTTGTCTCTAGAGGTACTTATGCTCGACGGTTGTTACTTTCTTTTCACCTCCTCTCACACTGTTTCAATAGCTTTCTTGCTTTTACTAGCTTTACCCGGTTTTCCTGGTATTTTGACGGTTTAATCTTCAAAACAATCAAGTCCCTGCTCGGGCGCCAATTTTGTAAGAGTCTCAATTTATTTTTCTTTGGTTCAGTGAAAAATAAATAGCCTTACTGGCGTACAGTAGGAAATTTAAATCTCTCGGGCGCCACCTCTGTTATTTATAGTGGAAGAGGACCACGTTTCGCCAATACGGGTAGCTTTTATACAGTGGAGATACCAGGGAGTGTTGAAATGAAAAGAAATAAAACACACAGTTAACTATAACATAACATTAAGGCTTTATTTAATTAATTAACTATATGCTAAATACCCCAGGAAGTTTCACGACTTTAAATTGTAATGAAAGTGAAAGAAAATTTATAATGAAAGACTCGTAAAATGAAATTTACAACAACAATCGAGCACCTCTAGAGTTTTGACCGTATAATCTCGATATGCAACTCACTGTCCGATTTAATCACGCGAATTCAAAGCGCGTTTTTGACATGACGTTCTAGTAAATAAAACGACGCGAGTTCCTAACGGCGTCCTAGTAAACACAGACATGTACGTACCGGAGCGATATACTCTTTTATAACCCGACTTTCTAAACGTCGGCGACGTCGTTACAGACGTCCCGGGATAAACAAACGCGAGCCCTGGATCGTTTGTCGTAGAACGAAACGGCGTCCTGTGGGATAATTACGCACCCGAGCCCTGAATCGTGCGCAGTAGAACGAAACGGCGTCCTGTGGGATAGATACGCACGCGAGCCCTGAATCGTTCGCAGTAGGACGAAACGGAGTCCTGTGGGATAGGTACGCACGCGAGTCCTGGATCGTTCGCAGTAGGACAAAACGGAGTCCTGTGGGATAGGTACGCACGCGAGTCCTGGATCGTTCGCAGTAGGACGAAACGGAGTCCTGTGGGATAGGTACGCACGCGAGCCCTGGATCGTCGCAGCAGGGACGAAACGGAGTCCCTGTGGGATAGGTACGCACGCGAGCCCTGAATCGCTTCGCAGTGGGACGAAACGGAGTCCTGTGGGATAGGTACGCACGCGAGCCCTGGATCGTGCGCAGTAGAACGAAACGGCGTCTCGGTTAGTCGCCTGGATAAGTGCAGTCCATTACCGCCTGGTCAGGACCACCCGGGATGTCGGCGAGATCCCACGGCGCTCCTGATGAGAATACGGGAACTACAGAACCAGTCGCGGGATAGACGAGATCCCAAGCTTTAGTTCCAAGAACATTCGCGACCCGGGTAGTTTACTGTACCACTACCTTAACCGCCGCTATCTGTCTCCCCTTTAATAAAAGAAATCGGTCTTCGCGTTTGACGGGATCCGTTCAGCTCCCCCACCCAGGAAGACGGCGCTGGCCCTGAACGAATACAAGTTTTTGCTAGCTAATGCGATCGCGCGTTCTAACTATCTCTGTCTCCCTTATCCCTATAACGCGTCAAGGCAGTAAAGTAAACGGTATTAACAATAAAAAGAATACGACCTACTCTCGATCACTTTGGCGGTGGGTGCTTACCTTATACAATACGGCGGCAGGCGGCAGGCGGCAGGCGGCTGGCAGCAGGACACTTGGCAGGGCACTCCGGACTCGAACTTCACTGTTCACGTGTGCGACCACACAACTCACTCTGTAGTGCTGGGGCACGCTGAGGGTAGCTGACTACGGTCCCTCCACTCCAACCTGCACTGGTAGGGAGAGTGGCGTAGAACGTCTCGGTTTCTCGCACCGAACCACGGCGATCAAAAACCGATCAAAACTCTCTTACAAAATGGAAATTAAATATTTAACTTATTTAATTCAACAATAGAAACATTAATGAAGTTCATTACAATAATGAGTTAACAATAAAATACCCTACCTGTCATTATTACAAGAGAATCAAGTCTCTATTATTCTCGTATAATATTAATATAATATACAGGGTGGCCCAGAAATTTTATGAACTTCATTACAATGGGTTAATTTATACAACAAGAGAACAACGACTATGAGACTCTACGAGAGAAAACTAAGACAGGATTTTGTCGCTTTGATCAGTACGTATATTCAAAATATTCGAAATACCATCTACGAATACCATTAAAAGAGAAACGTCACAAATGCATGTATCTCTTTTTGTTCGAAACAGATCTAGGCCAGTAAACGTAGCCGAGTATTATATGTAAAGGTGAAAAAAAATAGTAACCAATCAATCTCAACGGGAATGTGTAGATAATGATCTCCTATTTTACCCCTCAAAAGTCCCATTCGGTCCCAGTGGGAGAAGTTTGAAAAAAACCGCCGCCATCTTGGATTTTTTAGTTTTTTTCAAATATCTCCGTTAGCATAACTTTTTCCGAAAAAACTAAAGATACGTTTTTTGTCGAGAATTAAATTTAGAATATTTTTCCTTTAATCATTTTTGTTCTAAAATAAATAGTAATAGAGATAGAACAATTTTTTACTATACGTTATGTAAATTTTCCAGATTTTTAAACCAATCAGCTATAATTTTTGGCATTAACAGTATAGTGTTAATATAGATAAACCAAGTATAAATTTAAGCATTAAAACAATTAAAAATAACGTTTAAATATTATTTATTAAATAAAATTATTGTTAAAAAAGATATTATTAAATTAAAGTTATTAAATAAAATCTGCTGTGACGTCATCCTGAGCGTAATTTTCGTCCTCAACTAAAATACAAAAGTTTGTACAACTAATTCCTTAGCACTAACCACACTTTGAAGAACATTTAAGACCCAGTTATCTACAAGAGCAATTTTTAGAGCACTGACTTCTTTGCAATTGCAAAAAAATAATTTTAGTAGGTCAGGAGGCACCTCTTCTGTTGATTGAATAGGTGTCAGATTACCTTTTTGATCTTTCTTCCATCCATATTGTAAAGGATCTAACTTGTTACCAATCCATTCATGAATCTGAAATATACAACTTATAACATTTTCTATAATAGATATATCTTTACAGTTACCTGAAAGCATGTCCTGAGTAAATTGAGTTTTGCAGAGTTCTCAGTTGGACGCAAACTGGCTAAATTAAAGGTAGTCTTAAGGGCTTGTCTTTATGTAATCCGATTGTATAGAGTGTCTCTCAGATAGTTAATATGTAATATAGATAGCTCTGAATGAAACAAGTCATCTTTATTAGCATTTTTTTTATCTTTTAAATAAAATGGAGGTGTATCACATCCCGATAAAACATGTAAAAACAATATGTGTTTTTTAAAAGTCCCATGTTGTCTTGTACCTCAGATATTTTATCACCTCTTGCTGCTTTTCCCGGAAGAAGCATGGATATATTTTTATGTTTTGAATGGTATATAAGTAAAATCATAATATCAGTATCCTCGGAGACAACTGTTATATGTTTTGTGAGATTTTTTTCAAAAAGCACTAAAAAGTCGATTCTAAAAATATCCAAAATATAAGAAAGACAAAATGGGACGTTTAAAAAACACATATTGTTTTTACATGCTATATCAGGCTGTACTACCTCCTTTTTATTTAAATAATCAAAAAAAATGTACTTGAAAATATGTCGATATAAAATGTCGATACTGAAAAAAGATAACGATCTTTATCAAAACCTCCACGTATTTTTAAGAAAAAAATTCTAACAAAGATAACTTGTTTCAGTCAGGATTAAATTCAAGAGAATTTATTCTTATTTATAGCTTTAAAAGATTAAAGCTATACCACTGTCCAAGCTGTATTAAACATATTAACCATCTGAGATACACTCTATACAATAGGATTACATCAAGACAAGCCCTAAAGACTACCTTTAATTTAGCTAATTTGCCTCCAACTGAGAACTATGCGAAATTCCATTTACTCAGAATATATTTTTACAGGTAACTGTAAAGATATATCTATTATAGGAAATGTATTAAGTTGTATTTTTTAGATTCCAGAATGGATTGGTAACAAAGCAAATCCTTTACAATATGGATGAAAGAAAAATCAAAAAGGCAATCTGACACTATTCAATCAATAGAAGATGTGTCTTCTAACCTACTAAAATTATTTTTTTTCAATTGCAAACAGAGTCAGTGCTCTACAAATTACTCTTGTAGAAAACTGGGTCTTTAATGTTGCTCAAAGTGTGGTCAGTGCTACGGAATCAGTTGCACAAACTTTTGTATTTTAGTTGAGGATGAAAATGACGCTCAGGATGACGTCAGAGCAGATTTTATTTAATAACTTTAATTTAATAATAATTTTTTTAACAATAATTTTATTTAATAAGTAATATCTAAACATTATTTTTAATTGTTTTTATGCTTAAATTTATACTTGTGGTTTATCTACATTATCACTATACTGTTAACGCAAAAATTATATCTGATTGGTTTAAAAAAACTGGAAAATTTATAAAACGTATAGTAAAAAATTGCTCTATCTCTATTACTATTTATTTTAGAAAAAAAATTATTGAAGGTGGGATGTTCTAAATTTAATTCTCTACAAAAAGTATATCTTTAGTTTTTTCGAAAAAAGTTATGCAAACGAAGATATTTAAAATAAATCCAAGATGGCGGCGTTTTTTTTTTCAAACTTCCCCCACTGGGACCGAATGGGACTTTTGAGGAGTTAAATAGGAGATCATTATCTACACATTCCCGTTGAGATCGGTTGGTTACTAATTTTTTCCATCTCAACCTCCAGATTGACTGGCCTAATCTACGCAATTTGATTTTTGAGGATTTGTTAAATTTGGTTTAAAACATCATAAGATTTATCTCATTAGCAGTACTAAGAATCGATAATTTTTGCCCAAAAGTGGATTTATCACATTTTGCCTGTTCGTTCCTCAACTCTTTGCTGGTAAACAAAATTTGCTTAACAACATAACACAAAATATTTAACGTTTTTTTTTTAATTTGCAACAGGTGAGATACATATCCTGGAACTTTATAGAGCTACTAACAATGTGGTAGCTGTAGTATATAAACAACCTCTCAAATAGTGCCGTTCGGATTCGGCGATAAACTGTAGGTCCCGTGTAGTTGTAAAAACACTCATGACACACATCACAAGTACATGCGAAAGGTATCGAAAGATAAAAGTTGGGTTGATACATATCTTAGAGTTCCGTATTGCCGGATTTGCATCAAAAGTTCAAACCGCACAAGTAGACGTTTATGGAAAATATTGTATATATTGTTAGAACCTTATTTTTCACAATTAGTTACTCATTTTATTACAGATGTAATAGATTATAAGTGTGAAGTGTAATTATAGTGTTCTTTATGCTAGATATATTATCATTTCAGTAGGATATACTATACCTATATGAAAGTTTTTAAAATAGTTTTTATACAAATTTTCCTACAAATGTAAAGACCGGCAAC